ACATGTGGGAAATGTATCAAAGTGTTCTGTTCTAAAAAGTGGTGCAAAAATGTAAACGGGGAGTTGTCACCAATGAAGTGTAAATGCTTGTTAATCTGGTTCCCATGGCGATTACCACCTTTTTGGCATGTTAGATCACTCTTTAGAAAAGAACACTTTGGTACCTCTCTCCCATATTTTTCAAGGAGACTCTTGGAGAATATAATGTCTGGCACCGTCTGTCGTTGTAAAAAGATCTACCTCAGTTGATTAGAGACATAGAAGAGGTGATGCTGCTTATTGGCACTTTAGGTAGCAGAGTTGGTTTAATGATGGCAGGTTACAAGTCAGGATGGATTTATGTTGATGTCTGAGCAGAAAGCCCTCCACCATGTGTTAATAAAAGACTACTATCAGATGCAATTTCGATGGGAAAACCACCAAAATGAGATCTTTTAAACATCAGATACTGGTATATAGCAATGCGTAATTCCTAAACAACAGCAAAATATGCCTGTTTGGAGAATAAGAATAAATCAACAGCCATCAGTAAGGTATTATTATGGATTTATTTTTTGTACAGCACCATCATATTACCCAAACAGGTGTTTTGTGAAATGATCCATGGAAGTTCTAGTAAAAAAAGAGGTTGGACAATTTGTAATAAGACATGAACGTCACCTTTCTCAAACAAGTTTTCCAGGAGTGGAATACAATCATAAATGGTCAGGGCCTTAAAATGTATAATATTATTATTTTAATATTTATATAGCGCCATCAGATTCCGTAGTGCTGTACAATGGGTGGACTGACAGACATGTAATTGCAACCAGACAATTGGACGTACAGGAACAGAGGGGTGGAGCGTCCTGCTCCATGAGCTTACATTCTAGAGGGAGTGGGGTATAGTGACACAAAGGGTAAAAGTAGGGGTACGAAGTAGGATGTTAGAAAAGTGTTAATTGAGGGCTTAGTAGGTCATTTTTGACAGTTGCAGGAGAGGAGTCATGGAGGGTGGGGAATGAAAACCTGCTAACAGTTTAATTGATATGCTTTCTTGAAGAAGTGAGTTTTCAATGATTTTTTGAATGAGTGGAGACTGGGTGAAATTCTTACGGAGAAGGGAAGGGAGTTCCACAGAAGAGGTGCAGCCCTGGAAAAGTCTTGGAGGCGAGTGTTAGAGGTGGGAGTACGGACAGAGGATATACGTAGGTCTTTGGCAGAGCGTAGGGGCCTTGACGGGACATACTTGCGTATTAGGGAGGATAGGTAGGTTGGAGCAGCATTATCTAGGGACTTGTAAGCAAGCACCAGAATTTTTAATTGAGCCCTATATCTAACTGGAAGCCAATGCAGGGACTGACAGAGCGGGGAGGCGTGAGAGGTGCCGGTGGTCAGGAAAATGAGCCTCGCCGCTGCATTCATTATAGATTGCAGTGGTGCAGTCTGGGAACACGTAAGACCACTGAGAAAAGTATTGCAGTAGGCCAGGCGAGAGAGAACAAGAGCATGGACCAGCACCTTAGCCGCATCCGGGGTTAAATAGGGGCGGATGCGCGCTATGTTTTTGAGATGGAAGCAAAAGGATTTGACGATTGATTGGACATGAGGGGTGAAGGAGAGGTTGGAGTCAAAAAGAACACCCAGGCAGCGAGCCTGTAAGGTAGAGGTGATGGTAGCGCCGCTGACTTGGAGGGAGACAGGCACGGGAGTAGTAACACTTAAGGAAGGAAAGACCAGAAGTTCTGTTTTGGACAGGTTGAGTTTAAGGAAGTGAGCAGCCATCCATTTGGAAATCGAAGAGAGGCAGTAAGAGACACAAGTCAAGATGGGCGGAGAGAGATCAGGAGAGGACAGGTAGATTTGCGTGTCATCCACATAGAAATGATAACGGAAGCCAAGGAAGGCAGTCTTATTGTGTTTGTCTTTTTCCCCATTTGTACAGCGCTGCGGAATTTGTTGGCGCTTTATAAATGCCAGTAATAATAATAATAATAATAATAATCTCCAGCCAGTGCTAGCAGTGCTGACTAGGGAGGTATCACATGCTTATACTCTTAGTCCTCTTCCATATATGTTGCACATTTCACCTTCAATACATGCATAACAAATATGAATTCCCCACACCATTAATTACAGCATGCACATGCACATGCAACACTCATCAATTCTCTTTTCACATGCAAACACATTGCATTCCCTTTCTACACTAACTACGAATGTGCTTGTATATTCATTACATTCCTACCCAAGACATTTCCAAATACACGTCATCAATACCTTTCTCCACACTGAGGCCACACCAGTTTTGTTTCCACATACAGACATTCCGTTTTTACACCAATTTCCTTTCTCCACTTAATTTCTGCATTCACACACAAACAGACTTCAAATTCACTCTCCCCCAAGACTCACACTTTACATTGCCATACACACACCACCAATTCATTTTCCACACACATGCAGGTAGATATACCATCATTTCTTTTTTGCAAAGGAACAAGCAATCTATTCATTTTCCACATAAAAACATACTGCAGATTTCCTTTTTGCATACATAAATTTATTTCACACACACACCATTTGTTACACACACACACTTGACTTTCCTCACATTAATCCACACCATATACATGCTATATATTACCCATATACAAACTAACTTTCACCAATATAAAATAGTAATATAAAAGGATTAATGTTATTCACAGAGACATCATCATTGTTCTTTTTACAGAGAGACAAGAAAAAAAAAGCAGTCAATGTTCTCTGTAATGGAATCAAGGTGGGCCTCCATGGATTGAATTTGTTATTCTAGCACACCCCACAAATGCTTATTCTGATTGAGATATGGGAAAAGACAATACCTTGAACTTTTTGTCATGTTTCTTAAACCATTTCTGCACCATTTTTGCAGTGTGGCAGGGTGCAATATCCTGCTGGTTGCTAAAAGAGGCCACTGCCATTAATGAATACCTATGAAGGGTTGCACATGGTCTGCAACAATCTCTAGGTAGTTGGTACATGTCAAAGTAGCATACACATAGATGCCAGGAACCAAGGTTTCCCCGAAAAACATAACCCAGGGCTAAACTCTGCCTCTGTTGCCCTGTCCTCTTCCCATAGAGCATCCTGCTGCTATCTCTTCCCCAGGTAAACAATGCACACACCCAGCCATCCACCCATTCTAAAAGAAAGTATGATTCTTCAGATCAGGCAAGCTTCTTCCATTGCTCTATGGTGTTCTGTCACTCACGTCCCTATTTAAGGTGCTTTTACTGGTGAATAGGGGTTTTCATGGGCACTCTAAGCGGTCTGTGCCTCTGCAACTACATATTCAGCAAACTGCAATGGACTGTGTGTTCTGACACCGTTCTCTCATGGCTAGCCTTAGGTTTTTAAGTAATCTGAGCTATAGTAGTTCACTGGTAGTCCTTCCTTGCACCACCTTTGGTAGATAATAACCACTGCATACATGCTAATTTCCGAACCACATGCAAACATGCTACAATATTTGCTTTCACCCATAGGCTTTCACCCAGTCATCTAGCCATTACTATTTGGTCCTTATCAAAGTCACTCAGACCTTTTTGCTTGGCCATTTATCCTTTTTAAAACACTTTAAATTCAGGAACGGACTGTTCACTTGCTGCCTCATATATCCAACCCTTTGACAGGAGCCATAGTATGATATAATCAGCATCACCTGTCAGTGGTTTTAATGTTGTGGCTGATCAGTGTAGCTATTAAATTAAGTCTCTGAGACTATTGCATTAAATGTCTCTATGTTGTCACAACATTTAGTTTTTTTTCTTTGATATTCTTGTTTTTCTATGTTTTTATTATTTAATGCTACACTGGTTTTGCTTTATTACCACACTTTCAAAGACAGAACTATATGATCCCTTTATGTGGTTCAATAAATAAACTTCCTCATTTGCATGCTCCTTCCTGGTTCACATGCCTTCTGATATTTCCTGAAACATGCCTTCTGAGTATGTAGTTCTGTTCTACTTGCATGACTGTGTAGCCCAGGTTTTCATGTATATTAAAGGACCACTATAGTCAGGGCCGGATTAACATAGGGGCTGATGGAGCTGCAGCTCCAGGCCCAGGCCCATGGAATAGGCCCATTTAAAGTACACACTACTCTTAGGTTTGCCACCTGACTGGTATTTTAATAGCACAGACGGTATTTGAGGCTGCCTGGCCCTGCCGGTATTGCAGTAATACCAGCAATACAAATGCAGGTAATTTTCTCAGAAAAAATGGAAATTACTCTGCAATACCAGCACTGGCTAGTAGGGGTCACTGTGTGTGGAGAGAGGCAGGGATAGGAAGTTACAGAATATCCCTGCCTCTCTCTGCTACTCACTGATCCGTGGAGGAGCAGCTACACAGCACAGAGAGTCCAGACAGCATCTCTACAGCTCAGGTAAGTGAGGGATGGGGGGAAAGGCAGCAGGGACACATGGGGACACTGAGGCACCAGGGGACACTGAGGCACCAGGGGACACTGAGACACTAGGGGACACTGAGACACATGGGGACACTGAGACACTAGGGGACACATGGGGGCACAGACACTAGGGGACACTGAGACACTAGGGGACACATGGGGACACTGAGACACTAGGGGACACATGGGGACACAGACACTAGGGGACACATGATGACACATACACTAGGGGACACTGAGACACTAGGACACAGACACTGGGAGACCTGGGAACACTGAGACACTTGGGGACACTGGAAATCATGGGGACACAGACACTAGGGGACACATGGGGACACTGTCACTAGGGGCCACTGAGACACTAGGACACATGGGGACACAGACACCGGGAGACCTGGGGACACTGAGACACTAGGGGACACAGACACATGGGGATGCTGAGACACATGGGGATGCTGAGACACATGGGGACGCTGTGAGACATAGGGACATTGGGAGACATTGAGACACGGAGACACTATGTCCCCCAGCCAGTGTCCCTAGTGTCTCAGTGTCCCCAAGTCTCCCAGTGTCTGTGTCCCATGTCTCTCAGTGTGCCTAGTGTCCCCATGTCTCCCCAAGTGTCTGTCTCCCAGCCAGTGTCCCCTAGTCTCCCAGTGTCCCCTAGTCTCCAGGTGTCCCCTAGTCTCCCGGTGTCTGTGTCCCTAGTGTCTTAGTGTCCCCAAATGTTTCAGTGTCTCCATGTCTCCCAGTGTGTTCCTAGTGTCTCAGTGTGCCTGGTGTCTCCATGTCTCCCAGTGTGTTCCTAGTGTCTCAGTGTGCCTGGTGTCCCCATGTCTCCCAGTGTCCCTATATGTCCCAGTGTCCACATGTCTATGTCCACAACTGTCCCCATGTCTCCCAGTGTCCCCAAGTGTCTGTCTCCCAGCCAGTGTCCCCTAGTCTCCCAGTGTTCCCATGTCTGTGTCCCTAGTGTCTTAGTGTCCCCAAATGTTTCAGTGTCCCCATGTCTCACAGTGTCTGTGTCCCTAGTGTCTCAGTGTCCCCATTTCTCCCAGTTTCCCTAAATGTCTCAGTGTCCCCGGGTCTCTCAGTGTCCCCGGTATCCTAGTGACATGGGGACACACTGAGACATTGGGACACTGGGAGAAATGGGGACACAGACACTAGGGGACTGCGCGACATGGGGACACTGTTACTGTGATACATAGGGACACTGAGACACTGGGTGACAGGGAGACACTGGGAGCAATCCATATATACAGCAGAATCAAACTGTGAGTAGTTTGGTGATTTTACAGAATTTTCTCTGATGTCACTCCTTGTGATTTACATCACGTGATGTCACGCATGACTAATTAATTATACAAATGATTAAGGCTGGTATTTTTTTCAAGAAAGGTGGCAACCTTAACTACTCTTCACATACTCTTGCTTAAAGGAGCACTATAGGGTCAGGAACACAATCATGTATTTCTGACCCTATTATGTTAAAACCACCACCCTGGCCCCCTCTTGCCTCCCTAAATATAGTAAAATATTACTTGTATTCAATTCTGCAGCTGCTGGCTCAGAAGTGGTGGTCTGGGCAAATTACAATACTTCCCCATAGGATTGGCTGAGACTGTCAACTAGGCAGATCAGGGGCAGAGCCAGCACAAGTCCAACATAGCCCTGGCCAATCAGCATCTCCTCATAAAGATACATTGAATCAATGCATCTCTATGAGGAAAGTTCAGTGTCTGCATGCAGAGGGTGGAGACACTGAATGGCAGTGCTGCACACTAGGCAGTACTGCCCCAGGAAGCACTCCTAGCAGCCATCTAAGGAGCGGCCAGTGGAGTTATTTTCTCTGAAAAGACAGTGTTTACTGCAAAAAGCCTGAATGGAATTATTCTACTTACCAGAACAAATACAATAAGCTGTAGTTGTTCTGGTGACTATAGTGTCCCTTTAAGTTTGGAAGCTTAAGAGGGATGTATGGGAACAAAACTTGTGTGCACTTGCTGACATTAAAGTTAGTTTAGGTAATGCAGACGTTGGTCTCTCTAACACTATGGCATGTCCCCTTTCTTCTACACTCACTACAGGCATCTTTTCTCTGTCTCAGACTATATACCAGGAACTTCTGCCTGCTAGTAAGAAGGTAAGGAGACAAGTGGACCAGCGAGTGCTAGGGGACAGTCCTTAGAAAGAATGGAGTGAGCGCATCATTAGACGCATTTATGTCAAGCTCAAAGTGCTGCCTGCATAGTATGCCCTTAGTTGGACAACCTGCAGGATTGGCAGGCAGCCTGACATGCATTCATGCCAGGTTGACCTTCCAATTCTTTGGACAAACATGCCCCTTTTTGGGCATGTTCACCCCTTTTGGCAGGTCTTGTCACGTGATTAGCGCCAGTGGCACACCCTTTTACCCCGCCCATTGACTTCCGGCTTCACTGGACACTGCTGTTAGGGGTTATGGATTTACTTGAAAGATGAAAGCATAAATTAGAGAGAAATTAGCATAGAGTATGGGTTTTCTTATAGCTGCATCCTATGAGTTTCCCTCCAGCACCATCAGATACATGACGCTTGGGAGGTATGATTGTTTTAGTGTTTTTGGTCGATAAGATTCCATAATTAGGCCCATCATAATTGTCAGCACTAGTGATGTCGCGAACCCGAAATTTTCGGTTCGCGAACGGCGAACGCGAACTTCCGCAAATGTTCGCGAACCGGCGAACCGCCCGAAACGCCATTGACTTCAATGGGGAGGCGAATTTTAAAACA